ATCAGGCTATTTCAGCAATCATGTAATTTTTAAATAGAATAAATCTGTATTTAAATATGCCATGTAATAGTTTGAACAAATATAAAGCGTACATTTAGTAAACTCTATAAAAAAACACAATATAATAAATAACAAATAATATAGGGACAAAATAAATTATTTTCCTGATATAAGACTAGTTTTAGAGTGAAACGTAAAAAGTACAAATCATAGTATAATACTAATCAATATAAGCTACAATTTTTGCGGAATCAATAAACAAGAGCAGATACATAAATTAGATCATACCACTTTACAAAAGCGCAAGAACAAAATAGTGTACGGCTTTCCGGCAAAACAGCAAGTTCCATAAAATATGTTACACCTGGTATTTCATAAAATAACAAGACCAACCCTAATATTTTTCCTCTGAGTTCAGACATTATATTTCCCTCCCCTCCCAAATATTGATAGCAAAGTGCAAGAAAACAATATATTGCAAAGGCTAAAAATCAATAAACATAAGCAACAATACCTTCGGCAACATCATGAACTGGTTCTATGTAACTTCCTGCAATTCTTGCATGTACAACAAGCAAAATGCTGACAAATGAATAGACAGAATATGCAGGCACAATTAAAATAATTCTAATTATAAGCTTCTGTTCCTTTGGACAATTATAATGAGTTAAGTGGCAATATATCTAGAAATTCAGGTAAGCATAATTCTACTTGATGCAAAGTAATAAATGTCGCCAAAGAGATAGAAAAAGCCGCAATAACTTGAGCAAGTGGTGTGGATACAAAATAATACTCCTCTTGGTCTACATCCTTTAAAATTTCCGATGTGCCATTATTATCGTTTAACATCGCTTAATGCACGAGAAGTCTATATATTTAGCAACATTGACGAAAAGCTTGAAAACACGGGTGAGTTGGCCCGGCGTCACCGCCTGTAACAACAAACCATTTATTTTCACTTCTGCGTATAAGTAAAATACAGCAAAGTACTTTTAAATAAATAAATTAATTAATTGAATTACTAATATTTTTGTTTATAATAATATAATATAATGACATTACTTAAAGCTGAGCTTGCTCGAAATCCAAATTGAATAAGCACTGGTATCGTATAACAGTATACCATATAATAATTAAATATATTATATTTTATATGCTCTTAATCCCTTCGGCTGATTCGCTTGGAGCGCTAAGCTTACTAGCTCAGTAAATAACGCTTAAATATTCAACTATCATTCCATACCGTAGACGCTATTTGAAGTTAGACTGGATTAAGGCCCGGTGAAATTGATTAGGCTCTGCCGTCTATTAAGAGAATAACTAGTCTAATTCTATTCTTATTGAATTTTATTAGATTAATATAATGGTCAAACATAAATTATGTGCATATTTAAAAGAGAGTGGTGAACGAATACTATAATTAAGGAGTTAAAGAAGATGATGAATCTCTAATGTATTTAGAGGCCTCAATGAAAAGTCAAATTATTTTATAAAATCTTCTCCAAGCACCAAGATAATTGATTTGGTCATAATTGAAATATATATAATGTTTCCACGAGTCTTCGTTATTTTAATCCCAAAGTGGTATTTAAAGTTTCAAGTAAATAGCAAGTTCCAATTATTAACAAGAAGTAATTGGGTTTCGATGAAGTTCCAGAGATAAAATTATAAGGGATACTTTAATTTCTCATGAAAATGTTTGAATAATGTTTTTAAGCCTGAATTCACCAGAAGACAAGGACTTATTCCACTGTACTAGACCTGTTAGATTAATAAAGAATAGAATTTTGTATGGTGATTACCTAAGAAAAGAGAAAAAGACCTTTTCTAATATTTTTTCTTTGCTTTCGTGAATTCTTTCCAAAAGAATAGGTGAACATGTAAGGAAGTGAGGAATAAAAACCGTTTTCAGGGAAACTACAACACTTTCTTCAATTAAGCCAACTTTTAGTGAGCAAATTGACCCTCTATCCAAAAA